CGCAAGGGGGGGGGAGAGGAAGGGGGAAGGGGGAAGGGGGAAGAGGGAAGGGGGAGGGAGGAAGGGGGCCCACAAACCATCAGGATACTCAATCTCACAAGTGAGCTGATTCGTTACCAACCGTTAGACGATGAATCTGCACAGCTGACAACGATTTCACTCATATGGGAGCTGATACTGCTGGTAGTGGGCCTATGGCCTACAGCCTCTATTGATTACATTGCTAGCTGAAGCCTGAAGGGATTACTGCCGAGACGAGTGCAAGGCAGGTAGGCATCCACAGATTCGTTAAGCCACCATGATAGGGGTGTGCTCCTGAACCCTGATAGTGAAAGATTTCTCCAAAAGTCCACTGCGGCCAACAGATCACAAACAAATCCAAACACTCGGAAATTGTTTCCAGATGCGTCAAGGGCCTGCTGGGTCGAGGAAGCCTCGGGCAGTGGCTAAATCTCAGCCGCTGAGCCAGACAAATAATCTCAGCCCTCCATTTCCCTCCTCTTCATCTGTTTGGGGGCAGTCTGAAGTTCTGAACACATTTGTTATGCTGTTTTTGAACTGATGCCACTGGATACTATACCAGGCTTTCAGGTGTTTGGGTTTTATTTTTAGATTGAGCTAGAAGTTGATATCGAAATATGAACCTGGGCATAAATTTTGACAGGCAAGGATATTTTAGCACTAGCTTTGGACCGTCAGGTAGACTTTTTGTGTCTTCCATCTTCTGGGAAACGTACAGTGCTGGTCCCCTTGTAGTTGGGCAAGAGCTTCCACTCATTATCAATGTATATAAGCTAGTTCTAAAATATCCTTTCTGGTCCGAGACAGTCATCATGATGGTGCGTTGTGTTTGGGGGAAGACAATAGTTCATTTGTTTCGCACTTGGCAAACCCTGTGTAGGGAAATGCAGCTCCACAATTTAAAGTAGCTTGGGCGAGGAGTGGATCATCCATCACCTTTTCCTTTTTTTTTTTTTTTTTTTTGTGTGTGTGTGTCTGTTGACTCTGTTCCTTATGCAAGGAAAATGAGCAATAGTGAAACGACCTAGGCTACCAGAGTGGCCCGGGGTCACTTGCCCGGCCGGGGCAAAAACAATTATAAAAAAATATTTTAAGTTTTAAATTTTATTCTAAATTTGGTGAAGAATTTCGATGTGACCCTGAGGCAAAAGTTGTTCGGTTTAGTTTTCTGCATAACATAGTTTTTTTTTCGGATTTTTTTTAATTTTTTTTTTTTTTAATTTTTTTTTGCTGGGACCTTCCCTGGTCCTTGCACGGGCTGGCCACCCGGGACCCGGGCGGCCTGGCTGGTAGCCTAGGAAATGACAGAATTCCAGATTGCAAATTCACAATGAATTTATTTGAAAGCCAGATAGTCGAAAGCTGTCCAGAAAGCAGAAATGCACTGATATGACACCGAAGGAGAACCAAAGCAGCGAACTCAAGTGTCAATGAAAACATATACTCGCCACCACCAACAAAGCAATTGACGCTCCTCCTCCTACGTTTCTACAACTACTATCCTAGACTACCAAATGACGAAGCAACCCATTGACGTCAGCAGCAGTAACCAAAGTCCAAGCAGATGCCGACCATGCAGACCATCACCAAGACCAGGTACGTGCCCTCACATCGTCATCATCATCTCTCTTGCCCTCTCTCCCTCGTCTTATTCACCCGTGTCTCCACTATACACGAAGACCACCACCATACCCCGCTGACCGTCTCCAAGCCAAGCCCGGCTATGGAGGGCTTGGCTATGACCACCTTGCAGCGCCCTGCTTCCGCAGATGCCCGCGCGTGCCCAGGCTCTTGCGCTAGTGCAGCAGCACGCGAGCGCTCGCTCCAGCAGCGCTGTCACACGAACTCACAAGTGCCCAAATAAATGCTCTCGTGCCAGGCTCTTTGCTATATGCAAGTGGCCTGGCCCATTTGCAGCCTGGCCCGATGTTGTGTGTGCCCAGTAGCTTCAGGTTGGGCCGAAGTGTCTGCCTGCTTTCACCACGTTGCAGGAAGAGCCTTGAAAGCTCACGAATATTTGTGATTCTCACGAGCAAGGCGGATGTAACCAACTGACGCATGGGAACTGTCTGGCACCAACAAAGACTTTGCAAAATTGAAGAATTCAGGGCTCATCGAGATGCGGGGGGCCGCCTTCACTTAGGGTCGGCACACGTCTGCTGCAGGGGCCTTATGCAGGTATGCCGAGGGGTAGAATCCTCTCACTTGCTTCTTTGCATTTGGGAAGAGCGGGGGTTTCGAAGCATCTTTAGACTCTTTACTCCTCATCATTAAGTAGAGGAGAGGAGGGACGAGGGCTCAATCATAACTATGATTGTAACTGCAGCTAAGATACTCAACCATTTTGCTACCCATCTGCTTGTGGACACGTTTTGCAACCCAGGTGCACAAGGTTTTCCAGCTCTGTGTTGAGAAACGGGAACGAATGTTTTGACCCACGCCATGTGGCTAGATGGTACACCCCAAGTGACTGTTCGTACACAGACCTGAGTTCGAATCCTGTTGGTATCAGTCTATCAGATGAATAAAAGAACTCTGAATTACTTGTGAGGTGTGATACCTCGAGGTTAGTTAGTTATTATGTTTTTCTAACTTTTTTAACTTTTTGGAGTCCTATCCAGTGTGATTACACATTTGATGTCTTCAGGTTGATGAGACATGTTTTGCTTTGTGAAAGGAGATTGACATTCAATGACTCTCTCTCTCTCTCTCTCTCTCTCTCTCTCTCTCTCTCTCTCTCTCTCTCTCTCTCTCTCTNCACACACACACACACACACACAATCAGTTATAGGTTTGTTTGTTTGTTTTCCTGTTGTTGTCTGTTCTCCCCTGATCTTTTTGCTGTTTTCTGTTCTCCCCTGATCTTTTTCTACGTATTTTCGTTTACCCAACTGAGCACCCTTAAGTAGTGCCAAACAGTCGGTGGTTCCTCGTTTGGAGTGCCTACTGCACTCTTATGGGGGCCGCTCGGTTCGGGATGTCTGTGTTGCCT